ATATATATATATATATATATATATATATATATATATATATATATATATATATATATATATATATATATATGTATATAAATATAAATATAAATTTGGTCATAGCATTAAAGACACGAATAGAGAGGATTTCTCACCCATCACTAAGACAAAAAAATCTTAATAAGCTTTACGACATGCTGATTAACAACTCATACCCAAGTAGGTTAACTAAAAAATTGTTATATAGCACGACCCCACTAAGAGCTCCAAACCCGCGGAACACGGTCGTCCACTCAGATAGCCCAGAAATGGACGATCTGAGATGTTTTTATTTTTCATTGCCATACATTAAAGAATTAACGACCACACTCACAAAAATTCTGAGAGCACAAACAAATATTAAGATAGCATATAAACAAACAAAAACATTGGGGAGTGTCTTTAGCAAACTAAAAGATAAGGATGAGGTACAAAAGAATTCAGAAGTAATTTATAGCATCCCCTGTAATCAGTGTGATCAGGTATACATAGGACAGACATCGCGAGTACTTAAGGATAGAATTACGTCACACAAGAGTGATTGCAGACTTAATAAGAACACCTGTTCATTAGCAACACACTCTAACCAAATGGATCACGATGTTAACTTTGTTGAAACAAAAATTCTCCATAAAGAAAGCAACTACAACAAAAGAGCAATTTTGGAAATGGTGGAGATCTTCTTGGAACCGAAATCGGTCAATAAAAGATCTGACATTGATGGCCTCAGTGTGATCTACTCTAATGTCTTAACTTTACAACCAACCGTCAATCGAATTGCGTTTGCTGATAATAGTGTCGTCACAATGTAATTATAATTTAGAAAAATAGTCCCAAGCCTCTATACATTAGGTGCCTTGTAAACAAAAAGGAGGTAACAAAAGGAAAAAAAGAAGGGAAAAAAACTGGACGGCTGGCGGTAGTCATATTAATAAAACCTTTCCATCATTTGCGTTTTGCGTTTGAAGTAAAATTCGTTTAAATAAAATGTAACAACAATTTCGTCTAGATGGCTGCCCTCGGTTATAATAATTAACGGTCGTATTTGATTCTTTCTGTTATCCGGATGAGTTTGGTGTTGGCCTATAATGGCACTGTAGCAGTAAGTACTTTAACTAGAAGACTTTAGTATTAAATAACTAAGAGCCGCTTTCATATTGTAGCCCCTGAAGAAGAAAATAAACATTTTCGAAAGCTTGGTGTAGCACAAAAGCCTTTTATTTGAGCCCTCATCAGGACCGATACCCCAATTAACTAAAATTTGTTGTTCAACTAGCCGGTCACGACTACCGTTTTGTGTATTTTACAGGAATGGGGTTTTTCCAATCAATAAAAGCTCGATATGGAAACGAAGCAGTTTCACTACTCAAACAATGGGCCAGGCTCGGCAGCAAACTATCATCGTTTGGAAACAGGAAGATATTCTTACTCAAATGCAGACAGACAGGGATCATACCGAGACACATTACAGACGGGACCAGAAATTTGGGCATGCTTTTGGATTTGACCGATGGACATATGGGGGACCGCATTCGGGATTTCAATACCAGGTTGAATAACAAATTAATTAATTTAGAAATATCACTCACTATTTCAACTATCAATCGTATAGAAAAATCACTGAAACAAGTAAGAGAGAAAGTTTTGACATTGATTCCGGGGAATGTTGTTGACGAATTTGGTAAAAGACAACAAGGGTCATGTGATAAAAAATTCAAAACCATCAAAAAAAAGAACATAAACAAATTTCAAAACTTGAAGTCGCAACAGCATCACTTAACAATCAAAACACAAGATAATTGGGTTAAGAATATTTCAGAGGTTGAGGTCCCGGATGATGTCTTGAGGTTTCTCTCTTTAGGTTCGAAATTTTCCGTGCCACCAAGATGCAATGAAATCTCAGTCAAACGTTTAATTGCTGATGTAGAAACTATAATTAAAGTTGTACCAGAGAACGCAAAAAATACTGTAAGAGCTAAGTTTACTAATGTATTGACTAATTTTTTAAAACAACCGGCAAAGCGTAGCTATATAGACATTTTGTTAAAAAAGACAAAAAAATTTTTTAAGGATCACGCTGAGTTGGTCGTTTCTAGGGCCGATAAAGGGAATGTGACAGTTATTATGTCTAAAGATACATACATTCAAAAATCAAACGAAATTCTGATGGATCGGACCTATTACGAGCGTCTCAGATGTGATCCTACATCTACTTACCAACAAAAAGCTAACAAACTTGTCAAATCATTAAAAGATCAAAAACAATTAACAAATGAGGTAGCCAAAACTTTAAATATATATAATCAAACTTGTCCTAAATTTTATGGCTTACCCAAAATACATAAACCCCAATTGTCCTTAAGACCGATAATTTCATCAATTAATGCTCCGAACAGTAAACTGGCTTCATTGTTGACTCAGGTTTTAACCAAAGCATATAATAAGAATAATGATTATTTCACAGGTGATTCATTTGAGTTTTCTTCATTTATCAATGACAAACAATTACCTAATAAGTATGTTCTTGTGAGCTTGGATGTCGTCTCTTTATTTAGTAATATTCCATATAATTTGGTAGAAAAAAGTATAAAAAAACATTGGAACAGAATTAGAAACCACACTGATTTGTCACAAATTAGTTTCCTAAAGATACTTCAGTTTGTATTTGATACAACGTATTTTAGATTTAACAATGAATTTTACAAACAAAAATTAGGTACACCGATGGGTGCCATCATTTCTCCAATATTAGCTCAATACGTTATGGATGACCTACTTGAGGTGTGCGTAGATAAGCTGTCGTTTCAGTTACCATTTCTGAAAAAATATGTGGATGATATAATTACTTCCATACCTGAAAGTTGCGTGAGGGAAACTCTCACAGTGTTTAACAGCTATGATGCACACATACAATTTACAGTAGAGGAGGAAATTGATAAAAGCGTACCATTTCTGGACACTAAAGTGATCCGGAACAACGATAACAAAATTATATTAGATTGGTACATAAAACCGACCAGTTCGGGGAGATATATGAATTTCCACTCTTACCATACAACGAAAACAAAAATAAATTTGGTCATAGCATTAAAGACACGAATAGAGAGGATTTCTCACCCATCACTAAGACAAAAAAATCTTAATAAGCTTTACGACATGCTGATTAACAACTCATACCCAAGTAGGTTAACTAAAAAATTGTTATATAGCACGACCCCACTAAGAGCTCCAAACCCGCGGAACACGGTCGTCCACTCAGATAGCCCAGAAATGGACGATCTGAGATGTTTTTATTTTTCATTGCCATACATTAAAGAATTAACGACCACACTCACAAAAATTCTGAGAGCACAAACAAATATTAAGATAGCATATAAACAAACAAAAACATTGGGGAGTGTCTTTAGCAAACTAAAAGATAAGGATGAGGTACAAAAGAATTCAGAAGTAATTTATAGCATCCCCTGTAATCAGTGTGATCAGGTATACATAGGACAGACATCGCGAGTACTTAAGGATAGAATTACGTCACACAAGAGTGATTGCAGACTTAATAAGAACACCTGTTCATTAGCAACACACTCTAACCAAATGGATCACGATGTTAACTTTGTTGAAACAAAAATTCTCCATAAAGAAAGCAACTACAACAAAAGAGCAATTTTGGAAATGGTGGAGATCTTCTTGGAACCGAAATCGGTCAATAAAAGATCTGACATTGATGGCCTCAGTGTGATCTACTCTAATGTCTTAACTTTACAACCAACCGTCAATCGAATTGCGTTTGCTGATAATAGTGTCGTCACAATGTAATTATAATTTAGAAAAATAGTCCCAAGCCTCTATACATTAGGTGCCTTGTAAACAAAAAGGAGGTAACAAAAGGAAAAAAAGAAGGGAAAAAAACTGGACGGCTGGCGGTAGTCATATTAATAAAACCTTTCCATCATTTGCGTTTTGCGTTTGAAGTAAAATTCGTTTAAATAAAATGTAACAACAATTTCGTCTAGATGGCTGCCCTCGGTTATAATAATTAACGGTCGTATTTGATTCTTTCTGTTATCCGGATGAGTTTGGTGTTGGCCTATAATGGCACTGTAGCAGTAAGTACTTTAACTAGAAGACTTTAGTATTAAATAACTAAGAGCCGCTTTCATATTGTAGCCCCTGAAGAAGAAAATAAACATTTTCGAAAGCTTGGTGTAGCACAAAAGCCTTTTATTTGAGCCCTCATCAGGACCGATACCCCAATTAACTAAAATTTGTTGTTCAACTAGCCGGTCACGACTACCGTTTTGTGTATTTTACAGGAATGGGGTTTTTCCAATCAATAAAAGCTCGATATGGAAACGAAGCAGTTTCACTACTCAAACAATGGGCCAGGCTCGGCAGCAAACTATCATCGTTTGGAAACAGGAAGATATTCTTACTCAAATGCAGACAGACAGGGATCATACCGAGACACATTACAGACGGGACCAGAAATTTGGGCATGCTTTTGGATTTGACCGATGGACATATGGGGGACCGCATTCGGGATTTCAATACCAGGTTGAATAACAAATTAATTAATTTAGAAATATCACTCACTATTTCAACTATCAATCGTATAGAAAAATCACTGAAACAAGTAAGAGAGAAAGTTTTGACATTGATTCCGGGGGATGTTGTTGACGAATTTGGTAAAAGACAACAAGGGTCATGTGATAAAAAATTCAAAACCATCAAAAAAAAGAACATAAACAAATTTCAAAACTTGAAGTCGCAACAGCATCACTTAACAATCAAAACACAAGATAATTGGGTTAAGAATATTTCAGAGGTTGAGGTCCCGGATGATGTCTTGAGGTTTCTCTCTTTAGGTTCGAAATTTTCCGTGCCACCAAGATGCAATGAAATCTCAGTCAAACGTTTAATTGCTGATGTAGAAACTATAATTAAAGTTGTACCAGAGAACGCAAAAAATACTGTAAGAGCTAAGTTTACTAATGTATTGACTAATTTTTTAAAACAACCGGCAAAGCGTAGCTATATAGACATTTTGTTAAAAAAGACAAAAAAATTTTTTAAGGATCACGCTGAGTTGGTCGTTTCTAGGGCCGATAAAGGGAATGTGACAGTTATTATGTCTAAAGATACATACATTCAAAAATCAAACGAAATTCTGATGGATCGGACCTATTACGAGCGTCTCAGATGTGATCCTACATCTACTTACCAACAAAAAGCTAACAAACTTGTCAAATCATTAAAAGATCAAAAACAATTAACAAATGAGGTAGCCAAAACTTTAAATATATATAATCAAACTTGTCCTAAATTTTATGGCTTACCCAAAATACATAAACCCCAATTGTCCTTAAGACCGATAATTTCATCAATTAATGCTCCGAACAGTAAACTGGCTTCATTGTTGACTCAGGTTTTAACCAAAGCATATAATAAGAATAATGATTATTTCACAGGTGATTCATTTGAGTTTTCTTCATTTATCAATGACAAACAATTACCTAATAAGTATGTTCTTGTGAGCTTGGATGTCGTCTCTTTATTTAGTAATATTCCATATAATTTGGTAGAAAAAAGTATAAAAAAACATTGGAACAGAATTAGAAACCACACTGATTTGTCACAAATTAGTTTCCTAAAGATACTTCAGTTTGTATTTGATACAACGTATTTTAGATTTAACAATGAATTTTACAAACAAAAATTAGGTACACCGATGGGTGCCATCATTTCTCCAATATTAGCTCAATACGTTATGGATGACCTACTTGAGGTGTGCGTAGATAAGCTGTCGTTTCAGTTACCATTTCTGAAAAAATATGTGGATGATATAATTACTTCCATACCTGAAAGTTGCGTGAGGGAAACTCTCACAGTTTTTAACAGCTATGATGCACACATACAATTTACAGTAGAGGAGGAAATTGATAAAAGCGTACCATTTCTGGACACTAAAGTGATCCGGAACAACGATAACAAAATTATATTAGATTGGTACATAAAACCGACCAGTTCGGGGAGATATATGAATTTCCACTCTTACCATACAACGAAAACAAAAATAAATTTGGTCATAGCATTAAAGACACGAATAGAGAGGATTTCTCACCCATCACTAAGACAAAAAAATCTTAATAAGCTTTACGACATGCTGATTAACAACTCATACCCAAGTAGGTTAACTAAAAAATTGTTATATAGCACGACCCCACTAAGAGCTCCAAACCCGCGGAACACGGTCGTCCACTCAGATAGCCCAGAAATGGACGATCTGAGATGTTTTTATTTTTCATTGCCATACATTAAAGAATTAACGACCACACTCACAAAAATTCTGAGAGCACAAACAAATATTAAGATAGCATATAAACAAACAAAAACATTGGGGAGTGTCTTTAGCAAACTAAAAGATAAGGATGAGGTACAAAAGAATTCAGAAGTAATTTATAGCATCCCCTGTAATCAGTGTGATCAGGTATACATAGGACAGACATCGCGAGTACTTAAGGATAGAATTACGTCACACAAGAGTGATTGCAGACTTAATAAGAACACCTGTTCATTAGCAACACACTCTAACCAAATGGATCACGATGTTAACTTTGTTGAAACAAAAATTCTCCATAAAGAAAGCAACTACAACAAAAGAGCAATTTTGGAAATGGTGGAGATCTTCTTGGAACCGAAATCGGTCAATAAAAGATCTGACATTGATGGCCTCAGTGTGATCTACTCTAATGTCTTAACTTTACAACCAACCGTCAATCGAATTGCGTTTGCTGATAATAGTGTCGTCACAATGTAATTATAATTTAGAAAAATAGTCCCAAGCCTCTATACATTAGGTGCCTTGTAAACAAAAAGGAGGTAACAAAAGGAAAAAAAGAAGGGAAAAAAACTGGACGGCTGGCGGTAGTCATATTAATAAAACCTTTCCATCATTTGCGTTTTGCGTTTGAAGTAAAATTCGTTTAAATAAAATGTAACAACAATTTCGTCTAGATGGCTGCCCTCGGTTATAATAATTAACGGTCGTATTTGATTCTTTCTGTTATCCGGATGAGTTTGGTGTTGGCCTATAATGGCACTGTAGCAGTAAGTACTTTAACTAGAAGACTTTAGTATTAAATAACTAAGAGCCGCTTTCATATTGTAGCCCCTGAAGAAGAAAATAAACATTTTCGAAAGCTTGGTGTAGCACAAAAGCCTTTTATTTGAGCCCTCATCAGGACCGATACCCCAATTAACTAAAATTTGTTATATATATACATATATATATATATATATATATATATATATATATATATATATATATATATATATATATATATATATATATATATATATATATATATATATATATATATATATATATATATATATATATATATATATATATATATATATATGCGCGAGCATTGAAGATGCCAAGTGAGATTTTGGCGAAACGTCTGCAGGATTCCAGTCGGATGCAGGATTTGCAGGATTCCAGTCGGAGTTCAACGAGCGAACGGATGATATCCCGGAGTATAGTGTCATCACATTTTTCCATCCGTGAATCAATACGTGAGAATATATATATATATATATATATATATATATATATATATATATATATATATATATATATATATATATATATATATATATATATATATATATATATATATATATATATATATATATATATATATATATATATATATATATATATATATATATATATATATATATATATATATATATATATATATATATATATATATATATATATATATATATATATATATATATATATATATATATATATATATATATATATATATATATATATATATATATATATATATATATATATATATATATATATATATATATATATATATATATATATATATATATATATATATATATATATAGGTATGTTTTGGTATGTTTTGCACGTTTGCATAATGCTCAAGTTTAGAGTGATATTCACATTTGTAATATTTGTCAGGTTGGTGCCCTTGTTATTTTTAATCTTTACCTTTTATTGGGTGGTGGCTTAATATTGAGGACTCATTACCGCATTACCGCGACATCCAATATTCAACTTAGTATGCCGCAAAATAACAATAAAGGGGTTTTCAATAAGAGTGGGTAGATGTTGAAATGAAATAAAACAAGTTCTGTGTGAGCTATTATTAAAATTCTATTTTTATCTGAAAGGCCGATATGTGCCGTTAAGTGTGAAATATGAAATGCCCACCTCGGTTTCTTACGGCGGCAAGGGGGCATACACCGACTTCAAGAAACTCCACAAAAAAAGTCTAGGGGGGTCAAATCGCATGGTTTTGGTGATCAATTCACTTCTGCTAGAGATAATCTTACACTTAGGTTCATGCAGGATGTTTATCGTCCGCTGTGTGGCACGTAGCGTCATCCTGATCGAAGTACATGTCATTTAGGTTCATACGGCTCAATTGGAAATATCAAAATTTGATATCATCGTTCTGTAGCTCTCGCCGTTGACCGTTGACATCCTCTCCGACGTCATATTCGAAACAGTATTATGTTATTTCCTGGTGAACATGGTGTGAATTAGTGTAGTCCCATATGCGGAGGTTTGCTTGTTACCTTCTTAAAGATGAACGATGAATAAACGGTGTTGCCGTGTCATGAAGTTTGAGCTACTTGGTGGATTAAATCTTATATGGTCCCGAGATATAAAATTTCGCCTCAAATTTGATCACCAAATGTTGAACACATGACTGCGAAGGGTTACCGCCTTTATAGTAAAATGAACAAAATGCGACCAACGTTTACACTAATGTTACTATTACCACCGTTTTGGCGCCAAAGTTGCCGCTAGCGATCAGAAAGCCTATTCGGTTTCACCCATATAGCTACTAGAGATATAGGGACCGGTAATACGGGAAATTATGGAGCAACTAGGAAAAAATTCCACATACGTATGCTCGAAACTTAAAATTTCATTTTTCTGATTTTTTTCCCTATAGATTATGCTTTTTTAATAGCCAACCTTAGCACCCGTTCAGGATAAGTGTTATTCGTATGCAAAATTATAATTTTGACTTCATGTATGCATTCCAAGCACTATTTAAATCGAAAAAGCGTTAAATTGAATATATATGTGTATAATATCTATAGATAGATCATAGATGGGTGATTCCGTTCTGTTAATTTCTTATTTAAAATTTGTAAGATTTTAAAATTAGACTTTTTAATATTTTTTTGTGAATATTATTCATTTGATTTTACTACACCTTCAAAGCGTTAAGAAGGAGAATTAAACTTAAAATTTTCCACGGTACTGACATAAAATAAATTTGAGTTCTAAAATCATATTAAGCTATTTGCACTATTTAATGAACTCCATGTTTGTAAACAAGGCTTAGATGACGTACTTACTAGACGTTTCATAAATCTCAAGGTAGATAACGCTCGTGTCATGTAAATTCAAATTCAAAAATTCGTTAAGTTTCAAAGACAAAGTTTGATAATAGAAATAAGAATGTACGAGCTAATTTGTTCAATTCATTTATTGCGGCAAAAAAACAAATTATTATAGATTCATTTAAGAAATGCACGTGAAACGATACTGACATCTAGCTAATACACTATCGGACAAAAGTAGAGCAACATATTTTTTTAGTATTTTTGAAATAAAAAAAAAATTGGTTCATATTTTTTGCTAGTTACGATAAAATACTTTCCTTGCGTAGCAAGTAATTTTTCACAACATTTTGGGTGTACCTTAAGTTAGTTGGTGAAAGCTAAATAATAATTAATATAAAATTTGACGAAAATAAAGGCGACAAAAGTAAAGCAACAAATTGTACTTAACAGTGTTTTATTTTATTTTATTTCAAAAAGTCGTATTTAATAGTATTGCATTGTATTCTATTAAAAAAAAAACATTAAACACACATTTGCATACAATAATAATAATTAAAATTATGCCTTAATAATTTATAGAATATCCATTATTGAAAATTACCTGCTGGCAACGGCGTGACATTGACTCTATCAACTTTTGAGTGACATTTTCTGGAAGATTTGTCCAAACTTTGGAAACATTTGTGTACGAATGCGACGTTCTACTTCTTCCCAGACCTTAACCCAATTAGTTAAGGTCTGGCGACTGTGCCGGCCACTGCAAAACTCTAACATTGTTTTCTGCAAACCACTGTTGAACGAGTTGTGAAGAGTGTTTTGGATCATTGTCCTGTTGGAAAATAAAACGTAACGGCATTTCCCACTCTGCAGTAGGGAGCATAACATTTTGCATAATTTCCCTATAAACAAATCGATCCATTGTCTCATGAGAAACATCCCCATAAAAAAACACTGCCTTTACCATGTTTAATTGTAGGTGTTACGTACTTAGGGTTAAACCTTGTATTAATTGGTCGCCTCACACGTCGCATTCCATCAGAATTGAATATTTTATATCGCGTTTCATCGCTGAATAGAACTTTTTTCCAGTCATTGATGGTCCAGTTTAAATGCCGGCCTACAAAGGCCAAACTTGCTGCTCTGTTTCGTGCTGTAACTAGCGGTTTTTTTGCTGGTTGTCTACTGAACAACTTTGAAGCTACTAATTTTCTTTGCACAGTTCGTATACCAACCGTAATTTCTGGAATTTCGGCAATTATTCGAGGTGCGAACTTCTAAGGAACTTGTTGAGCAATTAATGCGGCTGTCAGTCAAAACCGTTGTTTTTTTTGGGTCTTCCCGATTTCGGCAATTTTTCTAAGTGTCCTCTGTCATTATACGATGAAATTATTCTAGATACGCTGTACCGAGGTAACATAAACTGTCTTGAAATATATGATTGATACCTTCCATAAATGCA